GTATGTATGTATGTATGTATCTATGTATGTATGTATGTATGTATCTATGTATGTTTGTATGTATGTATGTATGTATGTATGTATGTATGTATGTATGTATGTATNTATGTATGTATGTATGTATGTATATGTATGTATGTATGTATGTATGTATGTATGTATGTATGTATGTATGTATTTATGTATGTATGTATGTATGTATGTATGTATGTATGTATGTATGTATGTATGTATGTATGTATGTATGTATGTATGTATGTATTTATGTATGTATGTATGTATGTATGTATGTATGTATATGTATGTATGTATGTATGTATGTATATGTATGTATGTATGTATGTATGTATGTATGTATGTATGTATGTATGTATGTATTTATGTATGTATGTATGTATGTATGTATATGTATGTATGTATGTATGTATGTATGTATGTATGTATGTATGTATGTATGTATGTATGTATGTATGTATTTATGTATGTATGTATGTATGTATGTATGTATGTATGTATATGTATGTATGTATGTATATGTATGTATGTATGTATGTATGTATGTATGTATGTATGTATGTCTTTATATATATATGTATGTATGTATGTATGTATGTCTGTATATATATATGTATGTATGTATGTATGTATGTATGTCTGTATATATATATGTATGTATGTATGTCTGTATGTATGTCTGTATATATATATGTATGTATGTATGTATGTATGTATATATATATATATATATATATATATATATATATATATATATATATTTTTTTTTTTATATATACAGACATACATACATACATACATACATACATACATACATACATACATATACATACACGAAACAAGACAAAAATGCCAATTAAGTGTTTTAATTTTCCGATACTATTGGACAAATGAAAACAACAATCAAATATATTTAAAAACCCTTTAGTTTAATTACAAAACAAAATCATAGTGTACACAAAACAATACAAGGTGAAAAGCGAAACAAGAAGCGAATCTACATTTCGAATACTGATATGTGAATATTTTAGAAAATGGTGAAAACGGTCTCATTTTCCTGAGGTACATACTGATTCGCTGAAGAAGAGTAAAAACAATACAAAACTCTAATCAGTCGATACAAAATTCCAGTTAAATCAATGCTTTTTTTACATTTGGAATTTCCACACTGTCATATAGTAAATGCTACTTCCCTGCGGGGACAAAAATATATATTTACAGATATTTTGTGGTCTTGAAGAGTATCATACACTAAATAGGGGGTCACTTTGAGGACATCTCTACTGCAGGGGGATCGTCAGTACCGTTGACCTCATAATCAGTGGCCGGACCGGACACCAGCACTCGCACACGCTCAGGGAAATCATCCATTTTTGGGTAAAGCAGAAAGTCATAGATTAGCGCAGCCGCCACACCTCCACACATGGGCCCGACCCAGTAGACCTGAAAACACAACAATTACGTTAAACAGAAGTTAGACTTTCCCAAAACTGCATAGCCATCAGGCTCAAATTGCCCCTGAGTAGTCTGTGATGGGGGGGGCAGCATGATAGCTTAGTGGTTAGCACTGTCGCCTCATAGCAAGAAGGTCACTGGTTCGAGACCTGGCTGGGTCAGTAGGCGTTTCTGTGTGGAGTTTGCATGTTCTCCCCGTGTTGGCGTGGGTTTTCTCTGGGTGCTTCGGTTTTCCCCAGAGTCCAAGGTCCATGGGTGAATTGGATGAACTTAATTAGCAGCAGTGTGTGAATGTTAGTGTGCACTACTTAAAATAAAAGTTAAATAGTTGGCGGTTCATTCCTCTGTGGCGACCTCTGATAAATAAGAGACTGCGATGTGCAAAATATCTATTTTAGAAATAGTTTCTATTTACGCAACATTGCAGCAAAGCAATAGCATAAACTGCTATGATAATGATCACCTCAGGTACTGATTATGGGATTTATTCATTATTTAAAGTCGTGTTCATGAGACTGCCAAAAGATTTTATTACTTGTGACCGCTCTCTTAAAGGGTCTTTCGCTCAGTTATAATAGTTTAAGGTCTTTGTTATGACGACTTGATATAATACATCATAAACTATAATTATCTTTGTTATGACAACTTGACATTACCAAGACAACATAACTCGTCACAAATCTGTCATAAATATAATAATTGTGTCATGAATATTTTTCTGATCATTTTGTGATTGACAATGTATGCAAGATTGCGGTATTTACACAAAAAGAGCAGGTGCGAATGGCACTCGCGAGAGAAATCTGAGATCAGAAAAGGCGTACACGGTGACCTCTGGTGGATTTGCAAAAAACAAAAACTTAAAAAACAAACAAACAAAAAAAAAAAACACCGTAGCTCCTGGGAAGTTTTTTACACTCTCCAGAAATATATATAGGGGTAAGTATCAATAATGAGCCTGGGCTGTAAGTCTTTCTGTTTGCAATGCTTTGCAGCAATGTAATTCCTGATTTTATTCAGTGGAATAAAATCAATTTGTCACAAAAAATTCCCAGTAAGTGTCAATACACTCCTCAAAAATAGTTTTATAACAGTTAAAATAATATTTAATGACAATTAATGAGATCTTGACATTTAATGAAGTCAAGAAAAATATGTTTATAAAATTCAGGACACAATTATAATGGCTTCATGACAATCATGTTTATGACAGGTTTATTACAAGTTATGTCGTCCTGATCATTTAAAGTTGTTATGGCAAAGACATTTCAAACAGTGCCATCTTTGCTTTTAAAATGAATGAGGAAATGACACTTAATGACAAACAAGCAGGCATAAAATCTCATTCATATTCATGACATTGTAAATGTTTTATGACAGCCTTATGAACAAGGTTCTTTGGCAAAAGTGTTTAAATGAAGTATCTTTAAAATTCTTTTATATTCTACAAAAGGTTCTTTAATATCCTTTAGATTATACAAATGCTGTTAAGAACCATGCTAAAAGATTCCTTAAATAACCTGAAAAAAAGATCTTTAATGGCATTACTGGTTCTTTGGCTCTTCCTGACATTAATATTTTTAAAGAGCGACTGAATCACTGCAAAAAAGATTTCCTAATTCGTTTTTTTGTCTTGTTTCTAGTCCAAATATCTAAAAATTCTTAAATCAAGAAGCATTTACTAGACAAGCAAAACATTGTCCTATTTTAAGAATAATATGCCAATATTAAGTGAGTTATTTTCCTTAAAGCAAGCAAAATAATCAGCCAATGGGGTAAGAAAAACAATCTTATTTAAGTTAAGTAATAATAATCTTATTTAACAATTTAAGTTAAGCTTTTGGACAGGAGTGTGCTTCTCAAAACATCTCAAAAGTCATTTTCAAAATGTCTGTTTAACATAATATCTAAAAATACATCTGCCAGACAAAAACACGAACACTACTTAGTACACTTAGTAACCCTTGGCAAACAACACACAAACATGTATAGATCATTCCTGACTAGGCATTCATCTAAAACAATATGATTGTTACTTATTAACAGTTAAAAGTTCAACATTAGCTGATTCCATCCTCTGATAAGATCATGAAGGTTTTACAATTAACATGTGATTTCCTTCTTTATATTGATTACAAAAAAATATCATTTAGAGTTTTTGTCTGGTTTCTAGACCATTTATCTTTTTTTTTTTTTTTTTTTTACAAGACAAGTGAACAAAAAATTGTTTTGTTTTCAGAAATAATAACCAAAAACTAAGTAGACTTTTCCCTACAAGTAAAATAATCTGCCAATGGCGTAAGCAAAATAAACTTACCTCAAAATGATTACAAAATAATTTTGCTTAACCCCGTTGGCAGATTATTTTACTTGCTTTAAAAAAAAACTCACCTAATTTTAATGGACTATTTCTCAAAACAAAACAATGTTTGTTTATTTGTCTAGAAAATGCTTCTTGATGTTAGAATTTTGCGCTAGAATTAATATAAAAATAGCATTTTTGCAGTGTTTGTATAAATAAAATGCTTTTCATTTTAGTTTTTGTCTCATTTCTAATCCAAATATCTAAAAATCCTTAAAGTGGACCCATGATACCCCTTTTTACAAGATGTGAAATAAGTCTCGGATGTTCCTAGAGTGTGTGTGTGAAGTTTCAGCTCAAAATACCACACAAATAATGTTGTATAACTCTCTGAAACGGACCCTTTTAGGGTCTGATCCTAAGTGTGCCATTTTGGCGACTGTCGCTTTAAATTCAAATGAGATTGGGCTCTTTTCAAAAGAGGGCGGAGCTATAAATGCCTGCATGTCAGCATAGTGGCAGATTCAAAACAGCTGCTTCTCATTCAGGGCTGTTTGCGCTAATGAGGGAGAGATGTGCACTAGTGGGTGGGGCTTTTTCACCATCTGATGACATCATACAAAGGGAGAATGTCAATCAAAGTTTTTCTGCAGACTGTTTTTATCAAGTGTGATTATAAAAATACAATTAATGCATTTTAAACATTATGAGCTGGTTATATTCACACACCGTTGCCGAGAAATTGCATTTAAACACCTTATAAAAGTGATTTTTGCATAATAGGTCCCCTTTAAATTAGAAATAATTAGATTAGATTAAAGGAAGGAACTGAAATTGAATTTTATTACCCAGTGGTTGGCGAAATCTAGACGAATCATTGCTGGTCCGAATGTTCGAGCAGGATTGATTCCACATCCCGTGAAGCTGATCTACACAGAGAGAAACAACACACGATGATGACCATGCTGAGGATTGAGCTGGAAAGCCCTACTTATTCCTTTACTCGGTTAACCCTTGTGTGATGTTGGGTTGTTTTCATAGACCTTGGGGTGATTTTGAGTCATTGATTTGGCCACAATGTGTTTGAGCATATAGAAAGATTTTTTGGGGGCAAATCTTTTGGAACATATTTTGACAAAATGCTTAAATGTTAAAATGTTTAAAATTCAGGATTACACTCTTGGCAAATGAACTCCCCTTTCGTTATGTTGGCGGCTGTTTTTGCCCCACTGACTTCCATTATATTCACACTTTTTGATTGCAAAGTCTTGACCGTTCTTGATTGTTGCTTGTTTTCCCTGTTGGGAAGAGATCAAATGTGTAATTTTTTTACTGTTGATCATCAGTTGCAGAGCAAAAAAAGCTTAGTTTCTGGCTCAAAATGAAATGGCTATATGGAGTATAGTGTATGTGTGTGTGCTGCTACTACTACTACTACTACTACTACTACTACTACTACTACTACTACTACTACTACTACTACTACTACTACTACTACTACTACTACTAATAATAATAATAATAATAATAACAATGGTGGCGCAGTGGCGCAGTAGGTAGTGCTGTCGCCTCACAGCAAGAAGGTCGCTGGTTCGAACCTCGGTCAGTTGCCATTTCTGCGTGGAGTTTTCTTGTTCTTCTTGCGTTTGTGTGGGTTTCCTCCAGGTGCTCCGGTTTCCCCCACAGTCCAAAGACATGCGGTACAGGTGAATTGGGTAAGCTAAACTGTCCCTAGTGTATGAGTGTCTGTAGTTCATACTCACAAGGTATTTGTTTTGGCTACAGAAGCTTCCAGTGCACATAAAGTGACAACACAAAGTAAATATGAAAAAAAAAAGATTATAAATATTAAACAGAGATGCAGTTAGTAAAAAGATCTGGATGTTGAGTTGTATGTACAGATTTGTTATAAATATACAGGTTATAGGGTGCTGTGTACAAAAGCGAATGGAGGAAGTATTGCATTGTATATTGATGTAAGCTGCTGTGTATAAGTGCGTATGAGAAAGTCTTGCACATATTTAATGCACAGTTGGGGGATATTTAACTGTTCATGAGGGAGATGGGTCCCTGGGTCTGGCTGTTTTTGTGCTTGGTGCTTTGAAGCGCCGACCAGACGGTAACAGTTGAACAGGTAGTGTGCTGGGTGCGAGGTGTCCAGAGTGATTTTGACAGCCCTTTTACTCCCTCTGGAAGAGTACAGTTCTTGAAGTGTAGGAAGGGTAGTGCCAGTGATACGTTCAGCAGTGCGGACTATTCGCTGTAGTCTACGGAGGTCAGTTTTGGCAGCTGAGCCGAACCAGATGGTGATGGAAGTGCAGAGGATGGATTGGATGACAGCTGAGTAGAACTGTACGAGCAGCTCCTGTTGCAGGTTGAAACTTCCTCAGCTGATGAAGGAAGTACAGTCTCTGCCGGGCTTTCCTCACGATAGAGTCTATGTGAATGTCCCACTTCAGATCCTGAGAGATGGTGGTTTTGCCCATTCTGACTAGCTGTTGTCTATCTGTCCATTGTCCCATTGTTATCAGTGGTAATCAGCTTATAGATATGGGCCAGTAGGGGCCTTCCGCACCTACTGGTAGACTCAGAAGGCTGTTATCATCTTTCCACATGGTTAATCAGCTATACTAATAGAGAAGTTGTTTAGGGTTGGGGTAGACGTTCATAAAATACAATTAATAGGCAATTTAATAAATAATATAAATAATTCTCGTTAACTTCCGGAACCCTGCCGTATGTGATCTATAGCTGATTAACCATGTGGATGGATGATAACAGCCCTCTGAGCCTACCAGCAGCTGATAACCACTGATATGGTTTGAAAATGGCTGGTGTGTAAGTGTGTGAGAGATATCTTTGCGCACTTACCTTGATATGTTTGAGAAAATAAATAATAAGCAGCTCAGCTCTTAGAAAATAGTATGTGTATTTATGCACACACACACACACACACACACACACACACACTATAATCTGCTGTTTTACTCCATAGAACTCCATATAAAAGCCAGACACTGTTTTGTACAGGCCTATCTAAAGGGTTAATGCTGCCAACTGATGATCAACAGCAAAATTGACACATTTGACCTCTTCCTACCATGACAAAACCACCAACAATCAAGATTATATGCTGTCATGATTATTTTATGTCATTATAATGCAAGTCAATAGGGCAAAAATAGTCCCCAACATAATGAAAGGGGAGTCGATATGCACAATACACAAGGGTTAAGCATTGCTCTGTTGCTTTACATATTCATATGGTAACCCTGACAGTGTTTACTGCAGCTAGAGGAATGCTCGTGGTAAAGAAAATAGAGCGGTGGAAGTGTGAATGCTGATTACTCACGGCTGTCAGATGTCCCAGGCAAACACTGAGGCCGATGGCCAGAGGAGCGGAGCCCGACACGTCCCGCCGCCTTTTGTCTGTAGTTGCTAAAACACACAACACCAGCTGGAAGGTGGCCAGGAGCTCAATTCCAACACCTTGACCTGCTGAAATATCTGTGTGGATCTGCACACAAATAAAAGCATTTGATTTAGATTAGATCATTTGTACACTGTAAAAAAAAAAAAAAAAAAGATGAATTGATTTGAATTATTATTAAATATTATTATTATTATTACTATTTTATATATTGTTATTAATATTTGTTTATTATTGTTATTATTTTTTATCTTACAATTTTTTAATCAACACAGAATATTACTTTTATCATCTGCAAATTTCGCATTATTATTATTATTATTATTATTATTATTATTATTATTATTATTATTATTATTATTATCATTTTTTCATTCATTCATTTTCATTTCAGCTTAGTCCCTTTATTAATCTGGGGTTGCCACAGCAGAATGAACCGCAATACTATTATTATTATAATTATTATTATTATTATTATTATTATTGTAAGTATTTTTTATATTAATATTGTTATTACATTATTATTATTGTTATTACCTTTACCATTTGTTGCATCGACACAGAATGCTACTTGTATCATCTGTATCTTTCATATTATTCATATTATTATTTCATATTATTATTATTATTATTATTATTATTATTATTATTTTTATGTTTATTCAGATATTTTTATTTTTATTTTTTTAATTATAATTTATTTATTTATTTATTTTTATTTTATGCTGCATACACAGCAAGAAGGTCACTGGTTCAAGCCTCGGCTGAATCAGTTGGCGTTTCTCTGTGGAGTTTGCATGTTCTCCCGCGTGTTGGTGTGGGTTTCCTGCGGGTGCTCTGGTTTCCCCCCACAAGTCCAAACACATGTACTATAAGGGGAATTGTGTAAGCTAAAATTGTCCATAGTGTATGAGTGGGAATGCAAGAGTGTATGGGTGTTTCCCAGTGATGGGTTGCAGCTGGAAGGGCATCCGCTGTGTAAAACATAAGCTGGATAAGTTGTCGGTTCATTCCGCTGTGGTGACCCCGGATTAATAAAGGGATTAAGCCGAAAAGAAAATGAATAAATGAATTAATTTTTATTTAATAATTTTTAAAATTAATTTAATAATTTATTTTTTATTATTTTATTTATTTATTTTATTAATTTATGTATTCATTTATTTTTTAATGTATTTTTATTATTTATTTATTTAATGTATTATTTCAATTTATTTGTTTTTATTGTATTTATTTATTTATTTATTTATTTAATTAATTAACTAATTAATATTTTTTTAACTACTACTACTACTATTTACTGGATTTACTATGTTTTTTTTTTTTAAATATACAGTATATGTATGCTGTTTTTAATGTAAACTTTATAAATGCTTTGGCAATACATTTGTAACATTTGTCAAGCCAATAAAGCAACTACTGAACTGAACTGAACTGAATTTAATTGATTTGAATTTAATTAAATTGAATTGAATAAACATTGAGAGACTCATGTTTTACCACTCAGGTAAAAAAAAGAGAAGAAAACAAGCATAACATTTAAATGCAGAATTAAGAAAGACATGTATTTTGGGTCATTTCATGACATCAGCCCTGTGATGTCACTCCACACATGACGGTGTTTACCAGCAAAGTAAATATGTGCATTACGCCTTCTTGAAATAGGAAAAAAGTGTGTAATCACTGGAAAGAAGGCCACGTCTGAACACGGGTGATAAGTTTATCGTCAGCTCTCGTCTGCCCACACACCCATTCACACAGACTGATCCTGACGCATGGGGTTACCCTGTTTACCACTGGACTGTAAGACTTTACAATGTTGATTTGCTCATTTAAGGGATAGTCCACACAAAAAAACTTAAACTCTGTTATTAATTACTATTAAACAGTTTTGCATGTTTTAAAGCTTTTTGAGTTTCATCAACATAAAAGAAGATATTTTGAAGAATGTTGGAAACCTGTAACCATTGACTTCCATAGTAGGAAAAACAAACACTATGGAAGTCAATGGTTTTCATTTTGTGTTCAATAGAAGAAACTGAAATAGGTCAAAGGTGAGGAATGATGACCGAATTTTCATTTTTGCGTGAACTATCCCAGGTTACAATGCGTTTACTCACTTTTTAAGTCAATAATTGCTGTTAAAAGTGTATTTAAAGTCTCCATATTGTACATATTAATAACTAAAAAGTACAAAATGTATCTTGTGAAAGGGTGCTGCCTCATTGACAGCTTTTGTACCTTCATTTCAGAGTGTATAATTATTATTAATCAGAACAAATTCAACAAATCTTGCTGTTGTTGTAAATTGCACTCATTTGAAAGGATAGTTCAAGCAAAAAAATGAAAATTGACTCATTATTTACTCTCCCTGAGGGAGTTATAAACCTTTATGAGCTTTTTTCATCTGCTGAACACAAATGAAGTAACCCATTGTAAAGAAATATAATAGAAGTCAATGGTTACAGGTTTTCAACATTCTTCAAAATAACTTCTTTTGTGTTCATTTTTGAGTTTAATCATTTCATTTAGTCCAAGGGTGTCCCCTTCCTGTAAATGCACTCAATTAAAGGGATAGTTCACCCAAAAATCAAGATTTACTCTCCCTCATGTGGTTATAAATGAGTTTCTTTCTTCTGAAAACCTGACTTTCATAGTAGGAAAAACAAATACGATGGATGTCAATGGTTTACAGGTTTTCAACATTCTTCAAAATATCTTTCTTTGTGGTCAACAGCAATAGAGAAACTCAAACAGGTTTGGAACAAGACAAGCAAATGATGACATAATTTTCATTTTTGGGTAAACATTTCAGTTTTGGTTCAATAAAATTATCAAAAAAGAAGAGTTGATTTAGTTCCAGGATGTTCCCTTCTTGAAAAATGCACTCAATTAAAAGGATAGTTCACCCCCCAAAATAAAAATGTAGTCATTATTTACTCTCCTTCAAGTGGTTATTAGCCTTCAGAATCTTCTCAAAAGAAGAAATTTTGAAGAAAGGTGAAAACCTGTAACCATTGACATCCATAGTAGGAAATACAAATACTAAGGAAGTCAATAGTTACAGGTTTCCAACATTCTTCGAAACATCTTCTTTTATGTTCAACAGAAGAAAGAGAAGCAAATGATGACGTAATTTTCATTACGTTTCAGTTTTGGTTCATTAAAATCATCAAAATATCAATTGTCTTGAATTGTTAAGTGAGGAACAGATCCAATTTCCATTAAGTAAACAGAAGAGGTAAGAGTTTACTCTCTTGATTTAGAGCCAGGGTGTTCCCTTTTTAAAAAATTCTAAGTGCTTATAAACCTAATAAGTTTCTTTCATCTGTTGGACACAAATGAAGATATTTTAAAGAAACTGAAAACCTGTAACCATTTACATCCATAGTAGGAAATACAAATACTAAGGAAGTCAGAGGTTACCAGTTTCCAACATTCTTCAAAACATCTTCTTCAGAGGAAAGAGAAGCAAACGATGACATAATTTTCATTACGTTTCAGTTTTGGCTCATTAAAATCATCAAAATGTCAATTATTCAGAAGTGTTAAGTGAGGTCAATTTCCAAACAGATCTGATCTCAAATAAGAAAACAGAAGAGATAAGAGTTTACTCTCTTGATTTAGAGCCAGGGTGTTCCCTTTTTGAGAAATACACTCAATTAAAGGGAATTCACCCCTAAAATTTTAATAAATGAATAAATAAATTAATTAATGCACATACTCATTTTTACTCTCCCTTAAGTGTTTATAAACCGTATTGTTTCTTCCATCCATTAAACACATTTAAAGATATTTCAAAGAAACTGAAAACCTGTACCATTTACATCCTGTAAGCACCCTTTCACAAGATACATTTTGTACTTTTTAGTTATTAATATGTACAATACAGAGACTTTAAACACACTTTTAACAGCAATTATTGACTTCAAAAGTGAGTAAACGCATTGTAACCTGGGATAGTTCACGCAAAAATGAAAATTCGGTCATCATTCCTCACCTTTGACCTATTTCAGTTTATTCTATTGTACACAAAATAAAAACCATTGACTTCCATAGTGTTTGTTTTTCCTACTATGGAAGTCAATGGTTACTGGTTTCCAACATTCTTCGAAACATCTTCTTTTATGTTCAACAGAAGAAAGAGAAGCAAATGATGACGTAATTTTCATTACATTTCAGTTTTGGTTCATTAAAATCATCATATAGTCAATTATTTAGAATTGTTAAGTGAGGAACAGATCCAATCTCCATTAAGTAAACAGAAGAGATAAGAGTTTACTCTCTTGATTTAGAGCCAGGGTGTCCTCTTTTTAAAACATGCACTCAGTCAAAGGGAATTCATCCCTAAAATTTAAATAAATAAATAAATAAATACAAATACTCTTTTTTTACTTTCCCCTTATTAAGTTTGTTTCATCTGTTGAACACAAACCAAGACATTTTAAAGAAACTGAAAACCTGTAACCATTGGCATCTATAGGAAATACAAATACTAGGAAGTCAATGGTTACCAGTTTCCAACATTCTTCAAAACATCTTCTTTTGAGTTCAACAGAAGAAAGACAAGCAAATGATGACATTATTTTCATTACATTTCAGTTCCGATTCTTTAAAATCATTAAAATGTCAAGTGTCTAGAATTTTTAAGTGACTGAACAGATCAGATCTCAATTAATCAAACAGAAGAGTAAGAGATACACTGTTAACGATGTTTGCAAATGACACAGTATTCAACTGTAATGTAAACTGTATTTTACTGTAGGACAGATGCGGTATGTTACTGTATTTTAAAGTTGCATTGTAAAAATTACTATATATTTACAGTAAATATACTGTAAATGCATATACAGCAAGATAACTGTGCTGTAAATGTAAATACTGTACTGTACTGTAACTGATTTACAGTAAGTGAACTGCTGCCAGTGAGTTACTGTAGATTCTACAGGTAACTGTTAACAGTGTACGAGTTTACTCACTTGATTCAGTCCCAGGGCGTCCCCTTTGGAGACCCCGAGCACTATAGCGCTGGCCACAGTCGCCCCGATCATCTGGGCCAGAATATACATGACGGCCCTCAGCAGACTGATCTGACAGCTGGCCAGCAGACCCAGGGTCACGGCAGGGTTCAGGTGAGCTCCGCTGATGTGTCCCAGGCTCTGGGCGAGGGTGGCGATGGACAGCCCGAAAGCCAGCGCCACCTTGATCTCCTGGTCTGGGTTTTGAGTGTTGGTGTTTCCCACAGCTGCTGTAATGCTGAGGAAGATGAACAGGGTCATTCCCAGCAGCTCGGCCAGGACGGCCCGCCAGAAAGCCTTGCTCTTCAGCTCGTTCATGACTGACTGACTGACGGACTGACGCCTCTAATCTGTGGGCAGCAACAGCAAAAAAAAAGTGTGCTTCTCTGCCAAAACCACAGTATTTATAGGGCAGGTCCTGCTAATGAATCTGGAGGCGGGTTTAAGCTCCGCGGGGAGACAGAAGAAGAGAGAGAGAGAGAGAGGGAGAGGGAGAGACTCGCACACACACACACACACTATACTTCTAGATGTTCATAAATGAATCATTGTAAATAAATATACTGATTATTATTAATTATTATTATTGTTTTGTCCCAAAATATTGATTATTAAGTGTTTTTTTAATTGTTTTACTGCTACTATTTATTTTGTTTATTATATATATAGTATATATATATATAT